AGGAAGATATAGAAGATTTATCATTAATATTAGAGTTAACAACTTCAAAATATTACAGAGACTTTTCTGAAAATTTAAATTGTTATTTTATTGGGACCAGGTCACGCTGTCACACAGCATCCTACACAGTGGGGTCTCTTAGTTTGTGAACAAAGAAGCTATCTTGAAAAAAATGTGCTGTTGGATGTAAGCTTAATTTAGGAAACTGTAGGTGATAGCAAGGGAGTTTGTTCTTGGCTGTCATCTCTGTGCCTAAAGCCAGATCTGGGGGGAATTGGAAGAGCTGGGCACTGGCACTGGGGTTGGGCCCCTGGAAGGGATTTTAGCCTGAGTGCCCTTCGGATGGCGTTCCTTCCACCTAACTCCAGTTTAAAAGCTACACATGCCATCTAAATTAATCATTAAGACTCTGTCTCTAATCAGTGGAGAAAGCGAGCACTTCTAGACAGTGATTCACCCATCTTGTTTAAATGTGTCTTTGGAAAGGAAGACGTTACCTCTGGAAGTGTTCTCTGCTGACTGGTAGAAGCAGCCCAGACAATTACCTTAGTTGTCACTTCTGTTTAGGTGCCTGCAGTTAACAGCGGTGAATCCCGTCCCATGTCTCTAATGCATAATAATCTGCAAGTGGGATAGCTATTTTACAAAAAAACACCATTTGCAGCTAGAAAGACAGCAAAAATGCTATGTCTGCTCTCCAAGTCATGTAGCCAGATTGTTTTTCTAGTACGTCCTTCCAAGCCACCTGGTGAAGAAACAGCTGTGAGCTGTCTGAAGGGTGTGCCAGAGATCATGCTTTCGAGGGAACTCTACTTCTGTAGTCCCTAGTCCGACCTTTCCACTGAAAGCGATAGAAATTATGGCAAAGGACTATAAAATCTAAGATGTTAGTGGAGGCAGCATCCTCCTGTACATTTCTTTAAGACTGTTAGGTGACGGCTAAATGAAGGTGTTGCTACGGGAGGATTTCCGATGGTTCTTTGCAGAGCAGCTATTCTGCAGCATGAGGAAAAAGAGACATTAGCCAATCATATCATAATGAAGAAGAATAAAAATACAACATGTCACTGTGCACTGATATACTTTATTCAGGGCAGAAGTGTGCAGTTTGCATAGCTTAAAAACGTAAGCCAAGAAGTTACCAATATTTGCAAAACCCTCCTTTTTTACTCTCTTCCAATACGTTCGTAATTTGAATCAAACTGCTGGAGATAAAATGAGATACAAAGGCAGAAACTGAAAGCTCTCACTCACATGTCACCTTCCAGCTGTTATGAAAATCTAGGCTGTTACTGTTCTTGTCTTGGTTGCCTAAGCATAGCCCCATTCCTTCCTAGGGAAATCTGTAATCAAAGCTATTGCATTTTAGTAAGCAGACAGTATTACAGCTCAGTCAACGTCTCTCAGGGAGGACCTGGAGGCACTTGCATGTGGAGTGAGAGAGCCCTGAACATTTCTGTGCTACAGGATTTAGCATAAAGCTTGCTCTAACCTTCATCCTCTTCAAACTTCAGGTTAACACACGGAGAAAAATGCTGCCATTCTGTTTTTCTGTGTTAGTGATGACACCTCATCTAACGGGACAAACCTCAAACTACAGCCAATACCGACTGCATCAGCTGGGTCTAAGTTTAAAAGTAAGTTGAATAATACTTCAAGCCTTTATATTCTTCCATTTCCAGTTAGCTGGAAGAGGAATAAACCAGGCTATTTAGTAAGCGTTGTCAGCCAAAAGGTGACCTGTTTTTGAATTTGACCTTTTAGCTCAGCTTCATGGGTGGGTTTGGCTCAAAGCATTCATTATTTCTGGGTTGCCAAATTCAAAGAAACAGGTGGAGTTAGACTGTAAGATGTTTACTCATGTTATGCTGGAATTCCTTTGCTCTTGCCTGAGGCTCTACTTTGGAGGCCATCAAAGTTAAAACTGCTACTCCATTCTTGCCTGAAACATTTTGTTCTTACATTTCTCTCCTGTCAATGGGAATTAGAAGAACCTGAAATGTTGTCCCTGTCTAAATACAAAGCTAAAAGTAATTCTGTGTTTTGTGATGCTCAGAGCATCGCTATCTGCTTGTGTTGTCTGAAAGATGGGCAAGAATGAGGAAGACACAGTAGCACCTTTAGCAGAGACCCTTTGTTGAGCCCCCTGTACAACCCAAATGAGGAGAAGGGTCTAGTGGATGGATCTAACCGCAGGGGCAAAGTGTAAATGGCCACAGTGGGGAAACAGCATTAGTACAAGCAACCAATTCATTTAAAAGGCGTACAGGAAGGAAACTAGGAAAAACGGGATAGATGTTTTCCCTTTGGTTTTTTTTTCCTGTAATAACAAGTTATGTTTATACTAGAGGGAAACGTGCTCCACAGTATGGCCCACTATCCGTGTCCCCTGGCTGTCCCCATACAGAGACCTCCTTGCAGCTCCCTTCAGGCCTGTGCTCTGGAGTTTACTTCTCTTGGAAACCAAACACACATTTACACTGTTACTAAAAGAAATGAGTATAATAACAATTATTTTTTAAATGGTGCTGAACCATATATTTTCATTTTCTTGTTGGAAGAGGTATTATTTAACGTATTTTTCTATTTTACATATATCTACAGCAAGCCTTATTTTCTAGGTTTTTCTCATTATGTTAAAAAGCAGTATAAGATGACAATGTCCACATCTCTTAAGTTTAATTCCAAACATTTCTTCTCTAAACCAAAAATACTTTCATCTTCTTTGTGATAAATCGCACTTGTGATCAATTATTGTATTTGTATACACATTTTTTTAACATTAAGCTAAATGCTGAAGGAATGATATTCCCAGTGTAGAGTCCAAAATATAATAAATAATACATAATTAAAAAAATCTGGCATATTTATAATTTAAAATAAAGGAATCACATGTCATTAAAACAGCATTTCACTCAGCTTTTATGCAATTTTAGAAATTCTCTTTTCTCACCCTAGATTTGAGCAATGATCAGGGATCACTTGGTGTTCTGGAAGAAGTTGCTACCATCCTTTCAGCTGAAAGTTGAAGCGTTTGCAAGAATGTCACAGGGAATTTTAAATGATACAGCAGCAAATGGTATTAGATTCTGATGCAATCAAAGAAAGAGTAAGTGGTAATTAGGGTGATTGGAGTGATGCCTGAACATGATGTGGAATCTGTAGCACTCAAAGCAAACAGAGACCCCACTGGGAAATGTTTTGGACAACACAACACAGAATGCTGTTCGTGTCTTCTGTTGTAACCAGTTTCATATGCTTGAAACCAATTTATTATGGTTTACCAAGAGCAGGTGACTGGAAGACAGAGCAGAATATTCTGTTATTCCTTCCTTTCTCTGAAGTTCAAACAATGTGCTGTACATTTTACAAAAAACCCCACTTTTCTGTCTCTTGAAAAAAACCTCAAAACCAAATTAAGTTTCATTAATGATGCCCTTCCCCTTTAATAAATACATATGGTTATGACTGATTTATACTATAAACCAGGTGTGGTGCTGATGTGGGAAGACTCCCAAATCTTTGTTCTTCCATCTTAGCAGGCTCTTGGAAAGTATCATCATTATTGGTTTTAAGTCCAAAACTGAAAGTGCCCCAACAAAATACTGATACAAATTTGCTTTCCTGGTGCCTATTGTATGAGATCACCCTCATTACCTAACATCAACTCTCATTCACTTCTTTGAAAGACAGGACGTCAGCAGGGATGCAGGCTCTGCAGAAGAAGCTTGTTTAGAAAATTTTGTATGCTGCTGTCTTTTGAGGATCAGCTTGGAGACTCACAACAGCAAGAATCTAAAAGATCTTCTTGGCTAAAAGTGACAGTGTGAAAGACTTACTCACTTACTCACTCAGTCATTCAGGCTGCAAGCAAGTGGAAGCAGGCACCAGTATTTTCGTCCTAGGTAGCCCCTGTTGAAACTTTCTCTTTCTTTTTCTGTTTTCAGCCAGCACTTTTGTCACTGCAATAATAATAATAATCTCATCTCATAGCTTTATAAGAGCAAATGGATGCCACTGATACTTTCCATTTCAAAATAAGCAGGGAAGTTGTTACCCTTCTTTCTAATCTAGTTCAATCTTCTTCCATAGTCCACAAAAGTTTCCTCAAGAGTTGATCTTAAATTTCATTGAAACAAAAAAAAAAGTTGTTAATATATCAGTCTCATTCTCCCATCCAAATTAGACTGTGGACGAAGGATTTAAGGAAGGGTGTGCCAAACGCTGAGGACTGTTGGTATTCCAAGTCAATTAGAGCAGTTAATGCTTAATTAAGTGCTAATTTATGCTCTGTGCAATCTCATAGAGGGTAGAAATTTGGCTCAGACTAGTTGGAAAATGAAATTTTAGCTATTACACGTGAAAATATCTACTACTTTTATGCATACAAAACCTACTTTGTTTTATATGTGTCGAGTGCACTGTAAAACAAGGCTAAACTCTTATCCTGGTTTGGCTGGCTTCCTCTTGCAGTTTCAAAAGTTTCACAAATATTCATTTTCCTGTATCCTCAGAAGTCACAGAATATGCTAAAGACAAGCTGTCTGGCAGCCAATTTTCCATGTTTCCTTCAAAGGGCAAACTTAACTGTCTTCTGCAATAGCAGAGTTGAGAATCTATTGACGCTCACAGCATCTTTATTCCCTGCCTCACAGAATAAATAGAAATTTTATCTAGAACCGAATAAACCAGGAACTGGTGGCAACTATTTGAGCCAGGCTTTCAAAGGGGAGACCTTCCTAGCTTCCGTGCATGCTACAGCGAAGACAAACACCTTTCTTGTCCATGCAGGAAATGTGTCTTAAATCCCAAACAGAAGTAATGTTAAATTTTGGAGACTTGACCTCCACAGAGACCTGTCAGTCATCTCTGATGTAGCACATGGGAACGTTCAAATTGCCACACCTGATTTGCGTTCTTGTTACATACACACAAAACCAAGTCCTTCTCATCTTCACTCTTTGCCGCCTCTATGCATTTGCCAGAAAGGACATGGACAATCATTCCATTCTGCAAGATCAGAGAAGAAAGGAAAGAAAGAACAAATTAAGAATAAGGGGTTTCCTGTAAAAGCTAGGCCATGTTTCTGAAACTTTCTACATACAATAGATCATCAATAATGACTGGTTGTTCAAAAGTTTTTAAGTATTTCCCTAAACATAATGACTAAGTTTAGCTTTGAGCCCAGGGCATGAGTATTCATAACTCCTTTCGAAGCTGACAGGAGTGGTAGGTGCAGAATTCAATAAATCTCTTTTCCACCACTATTTGTTCCCTATGGGTACAGGTTGTTATCAGCATCAACTACAGTACTACAGGCCACAAATTTCAAAAGGACCAGTGCTTCCCTTAGGAACCAAAACAAATTACAGTCGGAACTGTACCAGAGGATTGCAGCATCCCTGCAACTAGCCAGTAACTGCTGTTTTCCCAGGCTGTCCTAAAGCAAGACATTTTTCAGTCTTGTAGAGGAGTTTCTGCTCTGCTGGGTGAAGTCCATTGAATAATACCGAATTCCTCTACTAGGAAGTTCGCTCTTCTCTTACAATGCAGGAGGAATTTTAATGTTTCCCCTACTCCCAAAGGGCCCTCATTTGGGAGGGTTCGGGATTCCCAGACCCTTCCTCTATCCAAAAGAAGTGGGCAAGGATTTGCCCTGCTCTTATTTTCACAACCACTGATTCTGATTCTATTCCTATAAGGCCAGTAAGACAAACAGTTAAAACAAGGACATGTGAACTAAGGTAGGATTCCTGTAATTTGTATTTTTAAACCTAATGTATTTCACAGAGACAGTGTAAATGGGCAAGAGGCATCCTAAATTTCCTGGGTGAAAATGGTACAGAAGTGAAACTTGCCCTTCAAACACCTCATCCTTTCCCCACACATGAATCCTGTCAATCACCCAGTGATCCCACAGTCACCATCAGCTGCCTTCCCCTCACGGCAGAGTCACTACTGACCTCCTGGACATCCCAGTGCTGGTGACTGTTTTCTGTCTCCTTTGTACAGTTTTGAGGGATAACCTTCCCATGTCTGACATCAAAGCAAAACAGCGGAGCAGAACCAAGCCGGATTTCCTTCATGCTGTTATATTCAAAGTGCTGGAAAAGGGAGGGTTTGTTTGAACAATGATGGAAGGACATCCCAAGTAATTTTTAAATGCTAATTCCAAAAATAATTTCCTGTACATGTTTGTTAAGATGCAACCCAAACATGAGTGATGGAGACCCAACAGCCTTGACCCTGAAAAGCAATCCCCCCCGCTAGCTAATTCTGGCATAGCTATTTACCTAAGGAAAGGCTTTGTGGACTGTAATTATGTATAAAGTAAAAATTTCTAGTTTAATAAATATTTGAACAGAAGAGTGTTTCTGACAGTGCCTGCACAGATTGCAGTTAGAAATGTGCCTGCAGCTTATCCTGAACTCAGTGTGAGCAGCAAAACTTGCTTGGGTCTTGGAGTAAATATCTGCAGTCGGTCTGTACTGGTTCGGCTTCTCTTAATGCATGAACTTGCTAGTCTAATGCCAGCTTGGGAGTCTACATGAATTTCCCTCCTGTCTTTGACAGCAGTTTAGGCACTAAACTGCGCTTCTGGCACTAATGGGGAATCCCCATTATTCTACAATTGTTATATGTTTTTTACTCCCAGGCTTTCTGTTCTCCAGACACTACCAAATATACTAACAAATAGGCACTTAGTGATGTCTGCTGGAGCAAAGAGTGGGTATCAGGCCTCAGTGACACATGGAACATTGCCATTTTTCAAATGACACTCAGCTTCAGAAGAGTGGGCATCGTTGCCTTAGCACATGCCTAATTTTGAACACATCAGTATTTCCACTAATGTCAGCCCAGCCATTTACATGTTGGAGTGACTGTCTTTTGGATGGTTCCCTAGATCTGATACGGTGCCTATATACTTAAAGTATACACTACCTGGGTGACACTGTCACTGCAAGGGGAGAGTTCGATAGAGCCTTCTGCAGTGGCTCTTCCAGGTCTGTAATCTGCACAGAAGCCAACACCAGTATTGTAAAGCTGGAAGTAAAGGTTTATACTGAAATAAAGCACAATCAGATACAAACAAAACATTCTTCAGCTAAGTTTTCTGTGATTATATCCCTTTATGATGCATGTTTTTGCTCATAATTCAGGCAATATTTTTTTCTTTCAGACTACATCTTGCAAACTGAACTGATATGAAAGGCAGAATCTCACCAAAGGTCAGTGTTACCCAACAAGTTTTGTTTAAGTTAGAGATACCCACTTCTGGTTTTAACTATCATGGTACTTAAAAGAAATCTGTCAAAATTTTTATGTTAATGGAAAATTGCACTTCAGCTGGACACTGTAGTCAGAAAAAAACCAAGATATTCCAGAAGAAAAAAACATGTGATAATTCCTGTGATCCACACTCAGTTCTTTCTTCCACTCTTCTCAAGCAAACTTTTTGATAATAAAGAACAGAAAAAATAGTAAAAGGACACAGTAAAATCTGGCTACAGATAGCAGAGTGTGACTTAATTAGCAGACCTTGCTGCCTTGTTGCGGGAAAATTCCTTCCAATAAGGCTGCCTGGAATAAATTCGTATTTTAATGAATGATAATTACCAACTTACGTGTTTTTTAAAAAAAACATTGAGAATATTGCATCCTGTACACAGTCAGCCAAGGAACTGCTATTGCTACCACCTCTGCCCTTGGGGGAAGTGCAGGACTGAAGAAATGCTCTTTTCTCTTTATGGACGTGGGTCAGCACGGGGATATCTCAGCTGCTGTTGTGGTTGCCAATCTGCATGATGCAACACAATTCTTTTCTTTTACTAACAGCACCTAAAGAACCTAAGGTTAGGGTCCTCTGAGCTGTGACACTGAACTGAGTCAGACAAGCTGGGTTCAGGTCCTGGCTGGCTTTCAACATTTATGTGAACATCTGGACCAGCTGTTTGTCTCCTCTATCCTTTTCTTTCTCCTCCCGTCCTTGATGCATTGTCTGTTTGGACAATAAACGTTTCAAAGCAGGAGCAGCCTCTTACTCTATGCTCACTGAGTACTTAGCACATGGAAGCCATACTAGGGTCTTTGAACAATGCAAAACCACTAATCGTTCTTTATAGTGTGTTTTCTCTTACCTTGCCAGAGAATCTTGGTGTGTCTTCAGGTTGGGAGAGTTCAGGGTACACATTTGATATAAACCATTGGAAATTTCTACAGCCCAGTCTCTTCTGTAGCTGAAGGCGCTCACTGCAGTCTGGCTTCTCTGCCTTTATGGAGAAAGCATAGGGGCAACAAGGTGACTAGTGTATTTGTGTTAGAGATGCTAGAAGTGAAAATGACTACACAGGAATTATTTCTACCACCTCTTCTACCCTGCATGTTACAGATACTGATATATATCTCTCATGAGTATGCAAAGGAGAAGGACCAGCTATAGCCTTCCTCCAACTTTGTACTAAACCAGCATTTAGTCTGGAATTGTGGCAGGAGTAAAGGTTTCAGAAGTAGCATACACTGTGAAAATAAGTATTTCCTCTAAAAATTATTATACTGCAAGATAAGTCAGTCTGTCATCTTTTTAATTAAAAATGTCAGGGCCAAGTTTGATACTTGATACTGAAATCAGTGGGATTGTATTAGATTGTCATTCAGTATAGAATTTGCCCCGCTGATTAAAATTCAATTTCCTGGCCTTTAACAGCCCAGATTACCCAGCTGTTGTCAGTCCTCCATGATCAGAGGATGTAAGTGATGAGTAATTTAGCCCAAAATATAGTCTATCACCTTATTATCTGACAGTTACTAAATCTAGTAAGTGAATATGTTCTGCAGCTATAAAGGCATAAAACCTTTCCTATGATTTATGTTTTCTTGAATTATATACACAGAATATCAACTCTCACCCTTCCTGGTAGCAACTCTGTTCTGAAAAAAGACAAATGCCTTCAACCCTTGGTCCAGCTATGGGCATCTGCACTGCAAAGGACTGACAGTCTGAATATTTGAGGGTATTTAACGCTGAAGATGGCTACAGGGTTCTGAAAACCTCTAAGCAGGTAAGTGTCTAATCCTTCAGTTTCAAAACCACACAAAACACTTGTCTAAATCTCTCAGTGCCCAAATACTAAAAATATCTCACTACCCTTAAGAGTCTCTCTGCTCTTCCTTGCCAGCAGTAGATCTCTCCCTTCACATTTCTACTTTTAAAAAATGCAGGTTTGGATTCCAGGAAACTGGTCTGGATTCCTATGTCAGAAATCAAAATTGGTAACATAAGCAAAGAATTGCCTGTAAATAACTTTACCTCAGACCAGCTATTTCTCTGAGTCTATAAGAAAGAAAAAAAGACTTTGTGACATGCCTGGAAAACACTGACAAATGAAAGGCCTTGGAGATCAAGGGAGAGGTACAGTTTCTAAAGGCAGGGATCAATCATGCCATGTGGCACTCTTTGCCAGCCCCTGTAAGCTGCACAGGCAAAGCTCAACAGTTGCAATATGTTAAAGAGAACTGCATAGTTTAGTATCAGTCTTAGATTCCCATAAGCATAACAACATCGTTCAGCAATTCAGCACCACACAACCTGTCCCCAAGAGGTTTTCTTGGAAAAGCGAAATAAAGAAGTAAACTGTTTCCCCTAAAAAGAGATGTTTCTCATGAGACTCTGCTTTGGCTGAAGAAGGCGATGAAAGTAAATCTCATTTTGTCATACTAGTTACAGTCTGCATTTTATGCCGAATAAATGGTGTAAATAATGTAAAGAAAGTCATTATCCCTATAAACCAATCTGAAAGGAAACTGTGCTTGTAAATTAAATAAACAAACCGCACAAGAAAACAAGAAAAAGAGACAGTGGCTGAAATAGTAGAGAGCTGGGAAGAGCCTTATTCATCGGCATTAACACTCACACCACGGGCATCCTGTGCAGGATGCGATGCAGCCCATAAAATGGGAAGACTTATAAAGGAACGTGGACGGGGGTCACTAGTTATTTTCTGCAGTGGGCAAGGTCGGTGTTCAAGGCTCACGGAGATTTTTGTAGCAGCCAATAGATGGCTCCGCTCACCCTCTCAGCGCAATAAATCCCCACAGGGCCCATCTGCAGCTGAGCGGCAATAATGTCATTGCTTGCTTGTGTCTTTTGAATAACATCCCAGTGCACTGACATACTGAAAATATTGGCTGTGAAAGAAAGGAACAGAGAAAAGGGCCTTTTATGTTATGGTATGCTGAGCACAGAGATCGTAAAATTGATCATTTGAAGGAGCGTCATACTTAGGAGTACTAAAAGTATTGTGGCTAGAATAAACTCTCAGGCAAAAGGTCGTGGTGCTTAAAGCTAGTAAACTGTATCATTGATGGCTGTACTTTTTAGTACAGAAAATTGCTTCTGAGTTGACCAGAAGGGCCTTCAGGAGATAATTAAATGATTTAAAGACCTAACTGCCCATCTTGAAAGACTTGGCCTAGCATCCTTCTTCCAATTACATGGCTGTAACTCTTGTGAGTCAATTGATGAACTTCTGGCCAGTGGAGTTCAAACCTACAATGCAGACAAGGTGGGAGAAGCTTTTTAAAAAAAGTGAAAATAAAATCAAAAAAAGGAACGTGATAGCCTCAGACTCTAGGATTGCCATAGCAGGCTGACTGGGGAGGCAGCTCCACTGGTGTAGCGTAAGGAGGTCAGACTAGGTAACAGGAGAGAAGCCATGCCAACACACAGCCCTTTTTCTCTCCCCGCTACAATGCAGCTCCTGTTGGATCTGGCTTTCTTAGACAAGCGCTGCAATGACTGAGGCATGCAGGACTGAAGTGAAAGAGCAAAACTGAATGGGAAACTTTGCACCATGCTCTGTCTAACTGTTTTCAGAGAATGTTTTTCTTCTTAAAAGCATGGCATTGTTAAATGAACAAGAAGATGAATGACACGTTTTCATTTACAACTGCTCACAAGTTTGTCCACTGCCTTTAGGAGAGGATACCGTTACAAGAAATGGTATCGGAGCCAGAGAATTCCTGAGAACTGCAGCAACATTAACAACTTCACATTATTAACAACTTAACATTAACCACAGTTGCATTACTCCCAATAAACAAACATCCACTGGTTTGTAATACGTGGGATTTATAGTCCCTTGACTGACCCTGATCTTCAATGGATTATACAGTAGCTTCAAAACAAGTGTGGCCATTCTGTAGTTGTTGGATGGTGTGTAGCCTGCAGATGTTTCAAGTGTGGCTGCATGCCAGGGCTATGCCACGCACCTGGCTGCAAGCCTGTCTTAGGGTACAGGCTGCTGGGAATCCAAATCCCTGAAGGTTGGACTGCTGCCTGCACAATGCTTCTAATGAAAAAGTAACCTGTAAATAGTGGCTATGTTGAGATCTGACTTTCTCAGTTACAGACAGTTGCTTCTGGATGTCTGTCAGTTCAGGAAAAAAAAATCACCTTTTTTGTTACTAGACCACTCAGATATCTTCTCTTCCAGTAGGAGAAACACCACAGTTTGCCACGTGCCCAAGAATATTACTGAATATCATCATGAATCACCTGAGGAAGACCTTCATTAACAAAGAATGAATCCTCTAGAAAGGCCCTTTCAGCACACAGTGCTACTAGCTTCCACTTCAGTTGCACTGCAACACTCCATGTACTACTGGTGGAAAAATAAATCACAGCTTGTTGGGCAAGCTGAAGAAGGAGTCATTTGGAGAAGGAGTGATACTCCAAGAGATTTGATAACTTCAGCAAACACCACCTAGGTACAAGTTTCTCTCTTTCCTTCCTGATCTGACAGTTCTTCCACTGAAAAGTTTCATAAAAAGCCTATCCCCAGCATCACGCACACTGAATGTCTGACTGCACCCAGACACCTCCACCCCTATACCACGCCCTTCACCTACCTCAACACACACTCCTTCCCTCAGAAACAAACAACTACAGATGTCTTTACCTTGCTGATTAAGAAAGCCACTGTGTCATGCTTGTAGAAGTTCTCTTTAAAAGAGCCCAGCCAGGTCTCTGCTATTCGGATTTTGTTCCTCACAATGGCCTCTTCATAGGAGAAAGCACGGGGAAAGTGATTTCGATAGACATGGCCAACTCGGGAACATGGCATAATTTCTACAGAGCCACCACAGAGCCAGGTCTGAAACACAGGTGAAGGCACAAAAGGAGATTACCCTATTTAGATTACCTTTATCTAAAAAGGAGAAGCTCCTTCGCTATAGACTCCACTTCAGGAAATCCTAATCTGGACATTGCTGGAAACAGCAAAAGCATTATAATGTGCTTCTTCATACACTGTTCTCCACAGATACAGAGACACAGAGAAGATACTGGGCAAGACAAACCTTTGATTTGGCCCAGTATGGCTATTTATGTGCTTTTATGTTTTTCTGTACACAAACAGTGCAGTGTAGTGAAGAGGCCTGAGGGCACACCTTCTTTTGTCTAGGACATTAAAGACTCTATACCCTTTGTGTCTACAATTTTCATTGCTTTTTAATATCAGTTACTCTTTGTATTCAGCAAAAATCAATGCAAACAATTTAATATAAACAATTTGGTATTAAAACTACAGATTGGCAAAGAAATAAAGCTACTCTGCCTTTGGTGCATGTTACATGCCAAAAAAGATGAGGCAGCTTTCAGAAGGTGCCGAAACCAGTGACTGTCCTCAGGCAGATAGTGATAGCCGGTGAAACTTCCTTCTCCTGACATAATGCTCCTAACTCACAGCAGCTGCATGTTCTTGTATAGTCCTGACAGATCACAGAGCATGGAGATAGATTTCTGCAAAGAAAGTGGTATTCTCCATACCCCAAGACATTCTGCACTTAACTGCTTTTATAAATTGCTTCTTGCCTTTTCATTCAGGTTCCTTAAAAGCTCACTAGTTACCAGAGCTTGATGTTTTAATTAAAATTCTTACCCTTATAGATAGCTCCAGATTTTCTGCTCCCCACACGGTCATGTCAGAATCATAAGCTCCAGTGTTTTGGAAGTAATGTCGATCCATGGCCACCACCGCACCAGCTACCACAGGACTCCTGTGTAGAAAACAGTTTGAAAGGCAACACCTTCAGTTTTGGATAGGGAGTTAAGTGAGGGATGAAAATCCTGCCATTTCCATAGAGATAGTATTGCAAAATGATTGAATACTACTCCATATAAGCTTGAATGAATTGATTATCCAACCAAAAGAAAGAATAACTGGAACCAAATTCTAGGATTTGCTTGGAGAAGAGAGCCAAGAGCCGAATTATTGAATAAAGCTCAGAACAGTGGGAAATGTTACATACATGTATACCCAAAAAACAGACAAACAGATAATGATTAAGACATCTCTTTTAACTCTGCATGATCCGTCTTTTACGTTCCCTACAAACCTCCATACCTTGTCTGGTCAGGTTGTATACTAGTTGTCTCAATGTGTGGAAAATATTTGTCATGTTGCAAGTATGACTGCAGTCTAGTTAGAATGATTACTAAAGGCCAAACAAATTCAGTGTATACCAAAAACTTAGCCCTTCAAAAAAACATTAACCGAGCATATGCAAATAACCACATCTCTCTTCCGTTAGCTGGAAGATAACCCAAATTGTACGGTTTTGCTGCTGAGCTGACCAGAGGCATATTGGCTGATGGACTGTTACCTGATAGGGCTGATGGGAGACTGTCGTACCTTCTCCTCACGCTCTGGCACAGGTTCCCAATGGAAATCTAGTTTCCAATCAAAAACACCTCGATGCAAGCCCAGAGAGTGATAGTACTGAAAAGTCTTCCAGTCTATGACGTCTATGACAGGGGAGACGACACTGTTTCTGAAAAAGACAGTATCATTTATTTTCAAAGCCAAATCACAACTTAAGTTCACTACTCTGTTAGTAAACAGTAGTTTTCCTTTTCAACACTGTCAAGCACAAGCAGTCCACTAGATATGCATGCCCTTATTTTCCCTGCTGATAGAAGCTCAGATGCTCAGCACATGGGAATACCGAGCCTGCAGTGAGGAATCTAAAGATCAACAATTTATTGATAACCTTGCATTGTCATTTAGAGCTAATCAGGATTTTGCTACGAGTTAATCATCAGAATTCTTACAAAGCTATTTCACACAGAGGCCCCAACCTCTGATGTTATAGGCTCTGCATGGATGCAAAGTTTATAGCAAAAGGTTATTTTGGCCTCACACACTTTACCATCCTTTGATTTTCCTGTAGATGTTCCACACACTTCATGAGTTTGTCACTTCAGGCCAATGAAGAGTACACTTATCCTTATTTTGTTCTGCCAGTTGTTTTTCAAAAACATTCATCACTGCGTTCATAAGCCAGTTTCTGTTTGTATTTTATCACAAGCTTAAAATGCTCTTGTAAATGCACTGTCACGGTGTGGAATCTACTTCTAAGAGCCAGAACAGAGCCATTGCACCACAAGCAGCAATCCTCTGATTCATTTCTAACTTGAGTTAAATTTGGATTAGTCTGAGAAGAGGTGTTAGACATTCCCCCATGGCAAACATGTCACGGTATTTCACAGCATGCTTGTACATCATCTTGGAGTTAACTGGTAGTTCACAGGAGCCATCAGCGTTCCTTGTTTCCAGGTCAATGACGTACCACATTTGGAAATTTTCGGAGTATAAATGCAGTGGTATTAGGGACTGCAGGAAAAAAAGGTGCTGAAGAACAACATTATCCATTTCTTCTCTGTTATGCAAAAAGGATAGCCTGTGGTCTCAGTGTAAGGGCTTGCCAATAGACACAAGGTCCTCTGGAGAAAAATCAGTAACATTTACTAGGGATTAAAGTACATCTGTCTTAAAGATGCTCAGTGGGAATAGGCAGTCAATGAGTATGTGTATGTGTGTGACAGAAACTTTGCAGACTGTCTTGATGTTTGAGAGAGTTCACATAGGTAATAAAATGGAAGGCCTGAAGAGAGTGACGAAAACAAGTCACCTATTTACCTTGGTAACTCTTGAAGTGAATAAAGGACC